TGTGAACTACTTCGTTACATTCTCTCCTCTCATAGTAGAAATCCGCCACGGTGAAAGCTGCAGATCAACCCTTCACTTTCCTTAAAATATGGCAATACACTGCAAGCGCATGGACCATCGTAGTACATTTCAATGGAAATGTTGCCCCAATACTTTTTGAACCAATGTAACAAATTAAGGCTGAGCGTTTCCCCTTTCCAGCCGTCAAATTGTCACGAATAATAGCCATGTTTGCACACAAGTCATCACTTGGAAATAACTTACTAACTATCGCCTTCTATGAGACATCGGCAATGCCAGTAAGATAAACTAAAATAACAAAATGAATTTAAAATAGGAATTAAAGGCACGACCCAAATACTAAACAAAACGACGAGTAATAAATGGATCTAGGCTATTGTCTGTCTAAACATGCAGTGGTCTACTATGTAAAGCAAGCTAGAGGGAGAAGACAAATCTAGACATGACAAGTGCACATCTCCCTCACACCAATACGACCGCGCACCTAACATCTCGTCAGCATATCATGATAACTAAGAGGCACAATAGTAGTTCGCTACAGACTCAAAAAAAAAAAAGCATCCAGTGATACAATTATTTTCTTGGACCAATTTCATGGCGTGATATTGGAAAGGATGTTTCTTTTAGAAAAACGGAGATCCCTCCCTGGTTCAGTAAAAATGATACCCTGTCTGGCAATCAAAATACAGAATGAATATAGTCTCAATTCTCAAACAGTAAAGGAAGATACAAACATGGTACTAGCAACATGCCATAAGCAAACAACAAAGCCAACACTTTACAAACAACTATTTTCTACAGAGACTTTTGCATGACTAATATTGCCATGTTTTCTGCTTTGCTGCAAGCCTTGGCCTACTGCATATGCACATGAATGTTTGTACTAGGTGATTTATTGCAACCAGTGGCACTTTGTTGTATACACAAGATTTTTTGTTGCAGGATGTATTTAAAATGCTGCGATGCTTTTGCATTGATTTTATAGTACGTACAAAAAAAAAATATAGTGATGATGTTGCAAAATGGTGTACAAAATATTACATTCATTTTTTCAAGTTGTAAGCTTTGAATTTGAGTCGCATCTGGAAGTGCGGAAGGTGGCCGATAAGCCACTGACTCCGTGCGACTGAAACATGTCTGTGCCTTTTTTTTGACAATAAAACAGTAAGGCAAAAGCCCTACTGTGTGTCATTTTCATTATAAGGAATAAAAGGTGCAGGTTACAATGGTTGTTGGGGGAGCAACCAGAGTTGTAGAGTCTACCTAAATGAAAAGGTAGAAATTAAAATAATTATTCAGATGTTATCTATCCAGGATGACATGCCATCCTTGAGGCTGAGCTTGGCTCTCAACATGGTGAGCTTGAAAGTTGTGATGAAATCAAATCTACATGAGGCTATAGAACATGGTATATCCTCAAAGATCAATCCATTTCTCTGGTTCCATATACTCCAGCATCCCACAATCATTATTTCCATGAAGAATGGCAGTTTATATCTCAACTTGGCATCAATAATCATGTCATGAATGCTCATGTCAGTGTTCCATTCAATACCAATATTCCACCAAAAATTCTGGCTGAAAGTGCATGAAAATAATAAATGAGTTCTGTCCTCCATCCCTTAACCTGAAAACTGATACCACTTGATAGTTATCATCTCATCTCATCTCATGTTTGTGTCCCTACGAAGGACGAAGCCCAAGTGAAATTTTTGTAGCGTAAAGAAAATCTCTAAGGTATTTCCCGTTCTTTTTCTTCGAGTCACAAATTTTGCGTCAGAGATGATTGTACGGTAATACTGAAAGAGCAATCAGAAATTTGAATCATAGTCTCGAGTAAGAGTAAGTTATTTTTGTCTGAGATTATGGATAGGTTGTACTCGAGATAACAATAACTAAGACTCCAAATAGGACTGACCGAACGATCGGTCTTTAATTCTTTAGTTGTACAAATTCCAACTCGTTGTCTCACATCACATGCACGTAGCGCGATATGTAACCTTAAGCTGATCCAAATAAAACAGAAGACAAAAGATAATGTACACATTATACATAGTTGGTTTGTCATATCGAATGTCACATCTTCATAGAAGTGCATCTTCTATGTCGACGTATGAACTGTTTATTTTCTGGAGCAGCAAGTTAAGCAATACCTTTAATATAATCGAAAACTTCAATCACATGAACTAGAACAGTCACTTAAAATTATGAGCTATTTTTTACTATTTAAATTTCACGAACCTAACATATCTCGGCTTACTTGTTTGGTTCTTGTACAAGTAACCTGGTCAACAATATTTCGTGACAGGTCAGTGACCTGGTGGGCCGCCCAGTCGTTTGGGGAGGGTTTGGGGTGCCCGGTTGTAGATGCTCTTAGGCCTTGTACAATGGGAGGTGCTTAGAGAAATAAAGCAGGTTTTTTTAAGCACTGGTGCTTATTTGTACAGGGTAGACGCTTAACTAAGCGTCTACCCTGTAGAAATAAGCACCGGTGCTTCAGAAAAATTCGATTTATTTTCCTAAGCACCTCTCTAAGCACCTCTCATTGTACAAGGCCTTACTCTTTTTACTCTCATAATTCTCTCTCCATCGGTTTTATAAGTCTCTAAATTCTCATGCCCACTCAAATTAAAAACTGTCTGATAATACCCAAGATATAGAAGTTTGGTTAGCTGTAATGCATCATTCAGTTTGCATACCTCACATGCATGCGTCAGCACGCTCAACTGCATGCACGTCAGATGACTGCAAATATTTATTACGAATGTACATATATATAGTATATCATAGGGTTTTCTCTAAACTTATCTTCCTCCAGAAATCTCCTCGCTGAGTTCCTTGTTTCCCAGGGTTCTTTGGGCAAAAGTCCATGGATAAGGGTTCCTTATTTCCCAGGCTTTGATAAGAGCGCGTTGACTGATAATGACAACCGTTTCAATATACCCTCTTCCGATTTGTATGGGCCGCATATTACTAGGTCATAAAGTTAATCAATTAATGAAATGTGAGTTATTATCACAAAATATACTCACTGAATTCATACTTAAAAGAAGTTTCTAATAGCATTTTGTTGTGGCATATAGCATGTACTTATTGATTAAATCGAAGATCTAAAAGTGCAATCCAATATGAATGTTGGGACTAAGTAGAGCATACTATGGGGTTGTATAGTTGCAGAGGTACGGGAAGATCAAAGCGTCCAATGAAACTACTTCCTCCATTTTTAAATATAAGTCTGTAGAGATTTTAATATGAACTATATATGGATGTATATAGACATAATTTAGTATATCAATTCACTCATTTTGCTTTATATGTAGTTCATATTAAAATATCTAAAAAGACTTATATTTAGGAACGGAGGGAGTACAACACAACATGTGCAGGTGAAATGATCCGATAATTCAAGTCTAAGCCTGGGCCCATCTGCACCCGGCAAATAGTAGTCCTGTAACGACCATGCTTAGAGCATCTTCAACATTGATCCATAAATTCGCTCTCGCATCCGTCCACGGACAGGGGGATTAGTCTATCGACAGTGATGCGAGAGGCAGTCATCCAACGCTAGTCTCATACATTTCAAACAAGACTTTACAAAACCGGAGGTATCAAACTTGGCAGGTTTCATAAAAGTTTGGACATAATTTAATAAAAGGTTGATTTCGACCGTTTAACTAAAAACTAGAGAGAGAGAGAGAGAGAGAGAGAGAGAGAGAGAGAGAGAGAGAGAGAGAAGGTAAACTCTATGGGCGTACCCGTTGTGCGGCCGTGGCGACGCGGGCTCGTCCTTGACGTGGCGTCGATCTTCACGTTGTGGTTGCGCGGAGGCGAGGCCGACTCCTCCTTGACGCGGCGTCTAATCTGAACGTTGTCGCGGTTGTGTGGGAGAGGTGGGTTCCTCCTCGACCCGCCAAAGTGGGGACGTTGGCTCGCACTTGATGCGGGTAGCACGGCGGGGACGATGACTCCTCCTTGACTCGCACCAGCGACAATGGCGCCGGGCCCATCTGTTGGAGAGAATGTTTGTTCGTGATCTTGATCCGACGGACGAATTCTTCGTCCATCTGAGCCACCTCCGCGAGGAGGTGCGACCACTGCTAGCTGCGGCTGCTGGTCCTTCTCTTCGCCAGAGGAGATGACGACCGTGGATGCCGAGGGGCCAAAGAGCAAGGGTGATGGCGCCAAGATTAGTCTGGTGATGAACTGCCACCGCCATCGCCTCCGCCTGCCGGCGTAGAGAACCATGACTTCGGCATCGCTGCTGGAGTTGGAAGGGCTTGGAGAGGAGGAGGATAGGACGAAGTGTGGATGTGCATCACCGGCACACGACTTAAATAGCCACGGCCAGGCCATGCGAAGGGCTGGTCAGCCCGCTTCAATGCGGCGCAGCGGCCGGAGTTGGTTTCTTGGGACGCGGCGTCTGCATTCAAGCGGTGACGCCTGAGAGGTCACGTCCATCAGCACAGTCTTCAGGTCCGGTAGCGTCGTTTGGCATCAATATCAGCCGATGCATGCTCTGGGCCAGTGTGAATACGATGCAGGCGTTAGATGGAAAGTGCGGGAGAGGCTTATGGGCCAGGGAGGTCAAACATATGGATGGCAATGATCTGGATGCCCGCAAAGCCTGGTTTTACGAAAGAAATTGCGTCTGGACTGGTTGGCTGGCCGATATAGGCATGCGCTGGATATCAGAATACGTCCGGACCGTCCTATCTGGACAGTTGCGGGTGGTTTTATGGTCCACGTTGGAGATGCCCTTACAACAGGTTTCAAGTATAGTCTTTCAAGTCTTGAAAACTATACCACACCTCATTTCTCTTTGCTATATTATACTGGTGACGACGTTTGGCACCAAGTAGCTAGCTCCTTGTGGCCTCTATATATACCGTGCAATCCTTGAAGCTGAGAGCACTGCGATTTGCGAGCACAGAAGCAAGACCCGGTGTTCAACAAGATCGATCATCTTATTTGCTAGGAAGATGGCCCTTGTGAAGGTGATTCGATCAATTTGCATCGTTACTGTGTGCTTCTTCTTCTTCTTCTTCTTCTTCTTACTAGCTTGTTGCTACTCCTCTAGCAGGCGGCTGCGAGCTGGCGCTCCTGGATCACACATGACACCACTTCGGTAATTAATAGAGAATTCACTCTGTAAAGAAATATAAAAACATTTCGATGAAGTTCTTTTTTTACTCGAAAACCGTAGAACAATCGCTTCTACAGTATAACTTGGCTGAAGCTCTAGCTCTGCCCATGTTTAGTTTCAATGACTATTAACATGGATGCATGCATGTTCAGGTGAAGGTGCAAGCTTTCACGGCAAGCAGCGGGGTTCCATGTGAGGACAGTCGGCAAAGCTTCCCGGTGATGTTGCGGGTCACGGCGGAGGGGGAGGCTGCCGGCTCCAAGCCGCCGCGGCACGTCGGTGCGGACATCGTCGCCGTGCTAGACATCAGCGGGAGCATGCTGGGGGACAAGCTGGAGCGCATGAAGGAGGCCATCACAAACGTCATCGACAAGCTCGGCACCAACGACCGGCTCTCCATCGTATCCTTCGAGTCCAATGTGTACCGCCTTACGGAGCTCACATACATGTCTGAGCAAGGCCGGAGAGCCGCCCGGGACAAGATCAATGAGCTCTTCACCAAAGGCGGCACCAATATGGGCCCGGCTCTGCATGAGGGAGCTCAGGTAATCCCTTGATGAATCTGGATATTTGTATTCTTATTTTGAGAAGGTGAGCAACCTATATGTATTGAATTTGGATCTTGATAAGTGTCACACGTGTGACACGAACAGATGACAACTTCAAACGTTTTTATGACAAGTTCAGTGCCGTGATGACGGTAACTTAATTTAGTCATGATGACAACTTTCTTTTCGGATGGTAAGTTTTAGTTTTTTTGGATGGTAACTTTAATTGTAAAAAATGTCAAGACCGTAGTGCTTTGTGCACTTATCATTTGGGCTGAATTTTACTGACTCATACCACAAAGAGTTTATGTCTGATCTCTCTATATATAATAGTGATATGCACACAGATAGTTTTTTTCTAAGAAACTTACAAGATCTATTACTCTCTATTCCGCAAGGTAGTGCATATTAGGTTCTACAAAAGTCAAACATGTCAACTAGTGGATATGATCAAGTTTATTAATTATTAAACCATTGATATCTATAATATTTAACAAATATAGTACAATATTAAATAAGTAAAGTATGAATATATACAATTAATGATGTATCTGATGACACTAGTTCTGTATATTATTAAGGATGCTGATATTTTTCTCTATAAACTTGGTTAAACATATATAAGTTTGACTATAATTTTTTCTTGAAACGAAGGGAGTATTATCTTGCAAATCAAAACTACTCCATCCGTTCACTATTAAAGATGTTCTAACTCTTTTATGAATTGGGTGTCTACACATGTTTTAGTGTGTTTGTTCACTCATTTGATCCATATGTAGTCCATCTTAAAATATCCAAAACATATTTTTCTTTGAACACCACCTCATATATTGATTAACCAAAAAAATATATGTTACAGTTGTTCATATTAAAATATCCAAAACATTTTATAACAGCGAACAGCGGGAGTACTTTCAAATGTTCTAGTGGTCATATAGTTAAAGAAAGTTTAACCGAGTTCTGGTTATGATCGATCGATCATAGATGCACATATATAGCCATGCGTGATTTCTTTGCGAACAGATTTTTGATGTATTTTTTTATTTCATATTTCTATGAACCTATTGTTTAGATTCTGCGGGGGCGTCCAGCTGAGGAAATGAGCAGCCGTGTAGGCTGCATTGTGTTCCTGTCGGATGGTTTGGACAGTGGTATCTTTGAGGCAACTATTAGCCCCGATTTCCCAGCGCACACCTTCGGCTTGGGCAAGGACCACGACCCCATGGCCATGAAGCACATCGCCGACAAGACCTCCGGCACCTACTCCTACGTCAACAAGGACACTAAGAGGATCAACTATGCCTTCCAACTATTCATTGCCGGCGTCACATCTGTATCTGTGACATCCGTTGAGATCACCCTTGGGACTCCTTATGGCATCCTCATATCGTCTATCGAGTCCGGAGGCTACTCCAACAAAATGAGCTCTGACGGGCGGTCCGGCACGATACACATCGACAACATGTATGCCGGCGACAGGAAGAACTTCATCGTCTTCCTGGAGCTGCCAGCCACGAAACAGGAGGGTAAGCAGAAGGTGCTGACCGTCGGCGGCCACTACCAGGGCCTCAGTGTTGCAAGCAAGAAGCTGACGGGCACTGATGTGTCTGTCATGCGACCACTTAAGAAATTTTCCGACAGGCTAGTTAATGACCCTGATGTGGCAGAAGAGGTCGCACGGACCAAGTTGTTGAAGGACATCGGGAAACTCTTTCAGCAACAACCATCCAATCTTTCCGGAGGAATGCCAAACATATATAACTCTTTTGTGGTCTCCCCGGAGGGCCTTCAAGCCCCCAAAACCTTGAAAAGCTTCAAGGGGGATTATAACAAGATGATGATGGGCATCGGCGACCCCAAAATGCACAAAATATTAGGGCTGCCTTACATATTGTCATGGCTATCTTCCCATAGTTGGCAACGTGCAACCACCATGGACGACCCCTGCGACACTCCTTTCATAACCCCAGGGCAAAAAGTCGTCCAGGATGCCAGCACTTCTGTTGCTGTTGGTGGTGGCAGTGGTGCTACTACTACTGGTAGTGGCGGTACTACTGCTGCTACATCTAGATGGGAAAAGATCATCGCAAGGGCGAAGAGAAACCCTTGCTCTTGCTTGCTGCCGAGTGTTGCCGTGACACTTGCGGTGGCCTCACTCTTTTTGGCGATGCTCTATTCTACACTCGAGGGAAGCCCCAATCCGGCGATGAAATTAGGCCCACTGCAGTATCCGATGCTCACGGAGAGCAACTATGCTGCTTGGGCCATCAAGATGGAGGCATACATGCGCGCTCAAGGGGTTTGGGATGCTGTCGGAGCCAAAGACCATCCCAAAGTTTCGGCAAGGAAGAACCAAATGGCGTTGGCCGCCATTTACCAGGCTATCCCGGAGGGCACACTTTTCCTGCTATCCCAGAAGAAGACAGCCAAGTCGGCGTGGGAGGCGCTCAAGACCATGCACATCGGAGACCAGCGCCTGAGGGATGCCAAGCTGCAAACCCTCAAGCTGGAGTTTGAGGCGTTGCGCATGAAGGAGACGGACTCCATCGACGACTTCGCCATCCGGCTGACGACGGTCGTCAACAAGATCCACACACTCGGTGAACGCATCGAGGAGCCCTACACCGTCAAGAAGTTCCTCCGCGCCGTCCCCAACAAGCACATCCAGATTGCTTCGACCATCGAGCAATTTGGCGACCTCAACACCATGACACTCCAGGAGGTTATTGGGCGGCTCAAGGTGCATGAGGAGCGCCTAGGACGACTCGGTGCTACCGAGAAGGAGAATGAGTTGTTGACACACGCTGAGTGGATAGCGAGGGAAGAGGCTGATCAGTTCAGCCATGATGCAACCAAGGTATATGCTTCGGTTGCCAAGATCCTCCTCCATGACGCCAAGAAGGAGAATGAGTTGTTGATGCATGCTGAGTGGAAAGCGAGGGAAGTAGTTGATCAGCTCAACCATGATGCACCCAAGGTATATGCTTCAGTTGCCAAGATCCTCCTCGGCAGGAGCGGGGGAGGCTATGGCGGTGACACATACCGGGTAAGCGCTTCCATTGCCAAGATTTTGGACACTTTGCTTACAAGTGCCGCGAGGAAGGAAAGGGAGGTGAAATCCCTGATCGCTGAAGCTCACGGTGACAATGAAGTAACTCTTCGCCTCCGATGATATCCCGAGAATAAAAGGTCAAGACAATGGATAATTATAAGCGTTTACCCTGGTCAACTGGTGTGGTGTTTTATTATCTGGTGTTGTGTGTTCGTGTGTGAGTGTTGTTGGTGGCCAGACCACTCTCGTTTCTGGTACAGTTTCCACCCTACTTTAATGCAAAAGTTGTTCTCGTGAAAAAATGTATAATCAGTTTGCTTCATGGACGGTTGGGAATAAAAAAGAAGGAAATAGATAAAATGATCAATGCAGTGCTCTAGCTAGATATAGTTTTTTATAATGAGATATTGTTTAGCAACACGACCATCTTAGATAAAGACTTCGATTTTATTTTTTTGAGAACTAGATAAAGGCTACATGATACCATTGCTAAACCAACATACATTTTTTCTAGACAACCTAAACCAACATACATTCTCTCAAGAGTCCAAGCGTTTCTCTTCCACCCCTTGGTCTTTCATCTCTTCCTCCACCTTCCACCAACGGTTCCTTTTATCTCACTTCTTCCTTATGAAGATAGCAGTGGTGACCGTTTTTCTCGAGGAAAGCGATTTCTGGGCGACTAGGGTTTGGCTGGTACGCCGCCGTCCGCCTCCTTGGCGGCGGCGCGGGTGCCGGCGTCCTCAGTCCCAGGACGGCAACTACGGTGCCGTGGCTGGTCTCTCTTTCTCTGCACCGTTGTCCCTGGTGGCTGTACACCAAGGTCTCCGTGAGTAGATTGGTTTGTCTGTTCCATCGCCCATGGCCGGGAGGAACATGCTTTGCATGAATTATGAATGATCTGTGTGGGGGAATTGTGATCCAGTCTATGCCAGCTTGGTGTTGTTTTGATCATTCGTTGGTTTGGTACTTCTTTGACGGAAGTCTGGAGGGGATCTAGAAACAATGAAGATTTTCAGTTGGAACTGTCGGGGCCTCATTGGTGCCACGACAATGCGTTCGCTTCTAGATTTTCAGAGGCATTTTGAGACGGATGTGATTTTTCTGTCCGAGACACACTTGGATGAAGTTAAGTCAGACGAGGTGTTGTGGAGGTTGAAGTTTGATCATAAACTGGTTGCTCCTAGTTTGGATGGAACAAGTGGTGGGCTCTTGTTAGTCTGGAAGAAGGAGGTGAGGATCTACTCCCGGACTACTACTCTTGAGTTCATTGATGTGTCTGTCAAAGAAAATGATGGGCGCATGTGGAGGATGACGGGAATCTATGGCGAACCAAGATGGGATCATAACGATAGAACTTTCAGAAATTTACGTGACTTGCATGCTCAATCAGGGTTGCCGTGGATGGTGATAGGCGATTTTAATGAGATTTTATAATCGTCGGAGAAGGATGGGGGCTCCCCTCGTCATCAGTCTCGACTACAAGCGTTTCAAGATGCGCTATCAGATTGCAATTTGGAGGACTTAGGTTATAATGGTGACATGTTCACCTGGTTTCGCGGTGGTCTGCGCGAGAGTCTCGATCGAGCAGTCTCTAATGCTGCATGGCTGCAGTTGTACCTGCTCGCGGGTTTGAGTAACTTGGATATGGGCAAATCGGACCACCGACCAGTGCTATTGGATACCAAGTACCTATCAGGTGTGGCGGAAAGTAGACCAAAGAGAAACAGGAAGTTTGAAATGCGATGGTTAGCGGAAGAATCTGTGAATGAGATTGTTACCACTGCTTGGCAAAAAGCGGTTCACCAAGGTTTGTGCCCTACAGCCATGGACAAACTCAATTCGGTTCACCGAGACCTCCATGCATGGGATAGCCGAGTCTTGAAAAAACCACAAGCAAAACTAAAGAAGGCTCGACGGGAACTTGAGGCACTAATGAGGGAACCGTTTTCGGATGATGCGAAGATGAGTCAAAAAGAACTATCAGTTTTGATTGAAACTTGCTTGAACAGGATGAGATCTATTGGGCCCAGAGGGGTCGAGTTAATTGGTTAAAGAAGGGAGACCGGAATTCTTCATATTTTCAGCATTCAGCAACAGCAAAAAGGCGAAGGAACCTGATAAAAAAACTTAAAGATGAAAGCCAGAATTGGGTGGAAGGCAATGACAATCTCAGGCCGCTAGTTCGTGACTATTTTTGTAATCTCTTCACCTCAAGTTCTGCTGAGATTGACCATGGTTTGTTATCTTCTGTTAAACCTATTGTAACAAATAATATGAATGAGTTTCTTGTTGCCCCGTATACCCGGGAGGATGTGGGCAAAGCTCTTTTTCAAATAGGTGATATGAAGGCGCCGGGCCCCGACGGGTTACATGCAATCTTTTTTAAGAGGTTTTGGCACATTGTGGGAGAGGAGCTAACAGATGAGGTGTTGGATGCAATAAACAAAAGAATAATACTGGCTGGATGGAATTCAACAAAAATCGTTTTGATCCCCAAGGTTGACAGTCCAGAGGTAATAAGTCAGTACAGGCCAATCAGTCTATGTAACGTCATATATAAGATTATTTCAAAGATGATTGCTAATAGACTAAAGAGAATTCTTCCAGAAGTTATTTCTCCAACGCAGAGTGCTTTTGTACCAGGCAGATTAATTACTGATAATGTCCTTGTTGCCTATGAATGTTTCCACACCATAAAAAAGAAGACCCATGGGTCTTCGGGGTACTATGTGGTAAAGCTTGATATGATGAAATCATATGATAGAGTGGAATGGAGATTTCTGGAAAAGATGATGCTGAAGATGGGGTTTCATGAGCAGTGGGTCCAAATGATAATGGAATGTGTTTCTTCTGTGAGCTATAGAGTCCGTTTCAATGATACAGAAACGGAAGAATTTCTACCCACTAGAGGCCTCAGACAGGGGGATCCCCTCTCCCCTTATTTATTTTTGTTATGCTCGGAAGGGCTTTCTAGCATGCTTGCTCATGAGGAAGAGATTGGAAATCTGGAAGGTGTCAAGGTATGTAGGAATGCACCTACTATCTCTCATCTTCTTTTTGTGGACGACTCATTGATTTTAATGAAAGAAAACATGCAATGTGCAAACACACTGAAAAGGATTCTGGGCGTTTATTATGGTAGTTCAGGCCAACTGGTTAGCAACGCCAAATCTAGCATCTCTTTTAGTCCTAATACTCATGTTGGTGTATGAGAGAATATTTGCAGGGAACTTAATATTGTTACTGAAGCACTATTAGACAAATATTTGGGGCTGCCCACTATGGTGGGGGTTGATAAAAGTGACTGTTTCCAACATCTCATTGACCGGGTATGCCAGCGTCTGAAGGGTTGGAAGGAAAATTTTCTCTCGATGCAGGGTAAGGAAATTCTGGTAAAATCGGTAGCTCAAGCAATTCCCTCGTATGCTATGTCAGTGTTCAAGTTACCTAAAGGAATATGCAAAACAATCACGGATGAAATAGCTGGATTTTGGTGGGGTGATGGTGAGGTAAAAAAGAAAATGCATTGGTTTGCATGGTGGAAGATGTGTGTACCAAAGAAGAAAGGGGGCTTGGGGTTTAGAGACCTTCACTGTTTCAACCTTGATATGTTAGCAAAACAGTGTTGGCGACTAATCCAAAACCCGGACTCTTTATGTGCACATGTCCTGAGTGCAAAATACTACCCCAATGGAAATATTTTGAAGGCAGGACCAAAGAAGGGATAGTCATTTACTTGGCAGAGTATCTGTGCAGGCATCCAAACCTTCCAAAGGGGGTTGATACGTCTCCAACGTATCTATAATTTTTGATTGCTCCATGCTATATTATCTACTGTTTTGGACTATATTGGGCTTTATTTTCCACTTTTATATTATTTTTGGTACTAACCTATTAACCGGAGGCCCAGCCCAGAATTGCTGTTTTTGCCTATTTCAGTGTTTCGGAGAAACAGAATATCAAACGGAGTCCAAACGGAATAAAATCTTCGGAACGTGATTTTCTCACCGAACGTGATCCAGGAGACTTGGATCCTACTCCAGGGGGTCAAAGAGGAGGTCACGAGGGTGGGGGGCACCCCCCCCCCCCTAGGGCGCACCCCCTGCCTCGTGGGCCCCTCGGTGCTCCACCAACATACTTCTTCCTCCTATATATACCTACGTACCCCCAAACGATCAGAACAAGAGCCAACCTAATTCCACCGCCGCAACTTTCTGTATCCACGAGATCCCATCTTGGGGCCTGTTCCGAAGCTCCGCCGGAAGAGGGCCGTCATCACGGAGGGCTTCTACATCATCCTAGCCCCTCCGATGAAGTGTGAGTAGTTTACCTCAGACCTTCGGGTCCATAGTTAGTAGCTAGATGGTTTCTTCTCTCTCTTTGAATCTTAATACAAAGTTCTCCCCCTTCTCTTGTGGAGATCTATTCGATGTAATCTTCTTTTTGCGATGTGTTTGTTGAGACCGATGAATTGTGGGTTTATGATCAAGTCTATCTATGATCAATATTTGAATCTTCTCTGAATTTTTTTATGTATGATTGGTTATCTTTGCAAGTCTCTTCGAATTATCCGTTTGGTTTGGCCAACTAGATTGGTAGTTCTTGCCATGGGAGAAGTGCTTAGCTTTGGGTTCGATCTTGCGGTGTCCTTACCCAGTGACAGAAGGGGCAGCAAGGCACGTATTGTATCGTTGCTATCGAGGATAACAAGATGGGGTTTATTTCATATTGCATGAATTTATCTCTCTACATCATGTCATCTTGCTTAAGGCGTTACTCTGTTTTTAACTTAATACTCTAGATGCATGTTGGATAGCGGTTGATGAGTGGAGTAATAGTAGTAGATGCAGAATCGTTTCGGTCTACTTGTCACGGACGTGATGCCTATATGCATGATCATGCCTAGATATTCTCATAACTATGCTCAATTCTGTCGATTGCTCAACAGTAATTTGTTCACCCACCATAGAATACTTATGCTCTTGAGAGAAGCCACTAATGAAACCTATGGCCCCCGAGTCTATTCTCATCATATCAATCTCCATCACTTTAATCTTGCTTTGCTTTTTTACTTTGCTTTTACTTTTTACTTTGCATCTTTATACCAAAAATATTATATCTATCAGATCTCACTCTCGTAAGTGATCGTGAAGGGATTGACAACCCCTAATCATGTTGGTTGCGAGTAGCTATCGCTTTGTGCAGGTACGAGGGATTTGAGCGTGGCCTCCTACTGGATTGATACCTTGGTTCTCAAAAACTGAGGGAAATACTTACGCTACTCTGCTGCATCATCCCTTCCTCTTCGGGGAAAACCAACGCAAGCTCAAGACGTAGCAAGAAGAATTTCTAGCGCCGTTGCCGGGGAGTCTAAGCAAAAAGTCAACATACCAATTACCCATCACAATCCCTATCTCTCGCATTACATTATTTGTCATTTGCCTCTCGTTTTCCTCTCCCCACTTCATCCTTGCCGTTTTATTCGCCCTCTCTCTCTATCCTCCCTCTCTATTTGCCTCTTGTTTGCTCGCGTGCTAGTTTGTTTTCTTGTCATCATGGCTAGTCCTCTTTCTGCTCCTATGTCTCCCGAGTTTGAAGTCCTTCACTTCAAACAAAAGCAAGGAGAAAACTTAAAGGATGCTTGGTTTAGAATGATGGAATCTTATCGTAAATGCACCCTAGAAGTAAACTTCAGAATTTTGCTTCGCAACTTTTATGTTGGGCTTAATATGTCTCATAGACAACTTTTGGATTGTGTTGCCAAAGGCAATTTCATTGAAATTGGTCTCAGTATCGCGCATGAAATTATAGAAGGTATAGTAGGAACTTTACCTCAACAAAAGGGGCCCCATCATACCCAAGAAAAAACGCAAGTTTTTGAGAAAATTTGCGAAGTAACTAAGATTTTACTGAAATCTCTTGAACCTTTTAAGAGCGTTAGCATAAATCTTCACCGCATGAATATGTTGATTACTCTTTGCAATAAGCGGTTGGATTCTTTAGATCTCAAGATCTCTGAATAAGGGAAACGTAAGGAACCTCCCGGATTCAAGCATAACATCGCTAAAAGAATTAAGAATCAAGATGGAAATACCTAGATCTATCCTCGCTTTTATGCCTAGCTAGGGGCGTTAAACGATAGCGCTTGTTGGGAGGCAACCCAATTTTATTTTTATTCCTTGCTTTTTGCTCCTGTTTAGTAATAAATAAATTATCTAGCCTCTGTTTTGGTTGTGTTTTTTGTGTTTAATTAGTGTTTGTGCCAAGTAGAACCGTTGGGAAGACTTGGGGAAAGTCTTGTTGAAATTGCTGTAAAAAACAGAAACTTTAGCGCTCACGAGAACTGCTGTAATTTTTATTTGAAGAGTGATATTTAGTTAATTCTTTTTGCAGATGATTAATAGATAAATTCCTCACGTCGAGAAATTTATTTTAGAATTTTTTGGGTTCCAGAGCTTTCTCAAGCTACAGATTACTACAGACTGTTCTGTTTTTGACAGATTCTGTTTTTCGTGTGTTGTTTGCTTATTTTGATGAATCTATAGCTAGTAAAATAGTTTATAATCCATAGAGAAGTTGGAATACAGTAGGTTTAACACCAATATAAATAAAGAATGAGTTCATTACAGTACCTTGAAGTGGTCTTTTGTTTTCTTTCGCTAACGGAGCTCACGAGTTTTCTATTTTGAGTTTTGTGTTGTGAAGTTTTCAAGTTTTGGGTGAATTCTTTTAATGGATCATGGAACAAGGAGTGGCAAGAGCCTAAGTTTGGGGATGCCTTCGGCTTCGGCTTGGGCGAGGACCACGACCCCATGGCCATGAAGCACATCGCCGACAAGACCTCCGGCACCTACTCCTACGTCAACAAGGACACTAAGAGGATCAACTATGCCTTCCAACTATTCATTGCCGGCGTCACATCTATATCTGTGACGTCCGTCGAGATCACCCTTGGGACTCCTTATGGCATCCTCATATCGTCTATTGAGTCCGGAGGCTACTCCAACAAAATGAGCTCTGACGGGCGGTCCGGCACGATACACATCGACAACATGTATGCCGGCGATAGGAAGAACTTCATCGTCTTCCTGGAGCTGCCAGCCACGAAACAGGAGGGTAAGCAGAAGGTGCTGACCGTCGGCGGCCACTACCAGGGCCTCAGTGTTGCGAGCAAGAAGCTGGCGGGCACTGATGTGTCTGTCATGCGAACACTTAAGAAATTTTCCGATAGGCTAGTTAGTGACCCTGATGTGGCAGAAGAGGTCGCACAGACCAAGTTGTTGAAGGACATCGGGAAACTCTTTCAGCAACAACCACCCAATCTTTCCGGAGGAATGCCAAACATATATAACTCTTTTGTGGTCTCCCGGAGGGCCTTCAAGCCCCCAAAACCTTGAAAAGCTTCGAGGGAGATTATAACAAGATGATGATGGGCATCAGCGACCCCAAAACGCACAAAATATTAGGGCTGCCTTACATATTGTCATGGCTATCTTCCCATAGTTGGCAATGTGCAACCACCATGGACGACCCCTGCGACACTCCTTTCATAACCCCAGGGCAAAAAGTCGTCTAGGATGCCAGCACTGCTGTTGCTGTTGGTGGTGGCAGTGGTGCTACTACTACTGGTAGTGGCGGTACTACTGCTGCTACATCTAGATGGGAAAAGATCATCGCAAGGGCGAAGAGCAACCCCTGCTCTTGCCTGCTGCCGAGTGTTGCCGTGACACTTGCGGTGGCCTCACTCTTTTTGGCGATGCTCTATTCTACACTCGAGGGAAGCTCCAATCCGGCGATGAAATTAGGCCCACTGCAGTATCCGATGCTCACGGAGAGCAACTATGCTGCTTGGGCCATCAAGATGGAGGCATACATGCGCGCTCAAGGGGTTTGGGATGCTGTCGGAGCCAAAGACCATCCCAAAGTTTCGGCAAGGAAGAACCAAATGGCGTTGGCCGCCATTTACCAGGCTATCCCGGAGGGCACACTTTTCCTGCTATCCCAGAAGAAGACAGCCAAGTCGGCGTGGGAGGCGCTCAAGACCATGCACATCGGAGACCAGGGCCTGAGGGATGCCAAGCTGCAAACCCTCAAGCTGGAGTTTGAGGCGTTGCGCATGAAGGAGACGGAGTCCATCGACGACTTCGCCGTCCGGCTGACGACGGTCGTCAACGAGATCCACACACTCGGTGAACGCATCGAGGAGCCCTACACCGTCAAGAAGTTCCTCCGCGCCGTCCCCAACAAGTACCTCCAGATTGCTTCGACCATCGAGCAATTTGGCGACCTCAACACCATGACACTCCAGGAGGTTATTGGGCGGCTCAAGGTGCATGAGGAGCACCTAGGACGACTCAGTGCTACCAAGAAGGAGAATGAGTTGTTGACACGCGCTGAGTGGATAGCGAGGGAAGAGGCTAATCAGTTCAGCCATGATGCAACCAAGGTATATGCTTTGGTTGCCAAGATCCTCCTCCGTGACGCCAAGAAGGAGAATGAGTTGTTGACGCATGCTGAGTGGAAAGCGAGGGAAGTAGTTGATCAGCTCAACCATGATGCACCCAAGGTATATGCTTCAGTTGCCAAGATCCTCCTCGGCAGGAGCGAGGGAGGCTATGGCGGTGACACATACCGGGTAAGCGCTTCCATTGCCAAGATTTTGGACACTTTGCTTACAAGTGCCGCGAGGAAGGAAAGGGAGGTGAGATCCATGATCGCTGAAGCTCGTGGTGACAATGAAGTAACTCTTCGCCTCTGATGATATCCCGAGAATAAAAGGTCAAGACAATGGATAATTGTAAGTGTTTACCTGGTCAACTAGTGTGGTGTTTTATTATCTGGTGTTGTGTGTTCGTGTGTGAGAGTTGTTGGTAGGGCTAGAATTCGAGCCGAGTCGAGCCAGCTCAGACTCGCTAAGGCTCGTTTCTTTAACGAGCTAGCTCGACTCGACTCGTTACTATAACGAGCTCAAATCCAAGATTAGCTCGACTTGTATAACTCGCGAGTTGGCTCGTTTAGCTTGTTAAGCTTGTTAAGAATATGAACATAAAACCTTATGAATAAGATAATGAGCATTGTTTGTGAACATTGTACATGTTTAATATGTACACTTTGCATTCGCAAGTAATAATTTTTTTCATATTCGTAAGGTGCCTTGCACGGCTAGGCCTTGGGTTGTGCACCTTGGACGCAGGGTGCTTGGTTGATCCCTTGCAACGAGCCTAACAAGTTACACGAGTACTCGTGAGATTGACTCGTTTAACTTGGTCTATAAATGATCTTAAACCAAAGCTCGGCTCGACTCGTTATTCTTCGAGTTTGAGTCGAATCGAGCCGAGTCACGAGTTACTCGTTTAGCTCATGAGCTTTGAGCTTTTTTTCCGGTCTTAGTTGTTGGTGGCCAGACCACTCTCTTTTCTGGTACAGTTTCCACCCTACTTTAATGCAAAAGTTGTTCTCGTGAAAAATGTATAATCAGTTTGCTTCATGGATGGTTGGGAAAAAAGAAGGAAATATATAAAATGATCAATGCAGTGCTCTAGCTAGGTATAGTTTTTTTTAGAATGACATATTGTTTAGCAAGGCGACCATCTTAGATAGGCTTCAAATTATTTTTTTGAGAACTGGATTAAGGCTACATGATACCATTGCTAAACCAACATACAATTTTTTCTAGACAATCTAAACCAACATACATTCTCTCAAGAGGACAAAAAAAGGAAGGGAACATTTTTACAATTTTTTTTTGAGAAATACAAACATTTTCACATGGACTTCAAACTTATTTGGTCCTACCTCAGCCCAGTTCAGTTCTTAGGATAACTCTTCTGGAGACAACGAGGCCCGGTTATGGGGGCGCTGCTATACCTCGCTAGGGATATTGATCCTCAAAAAAAGAAGTAAACCTCGCTTGAGCTATTTGACGCTCTCTGCGTCGAACTCCTGGAGATTTTTGCATAGGAAAGGGAGCGACTGAACGTGGCTTCAGCTATCCCATTTTAGCTGTCCTGCTTTGGGAACCATTCGGAAGGATTCGTTTCGGTTTTTACTGGGTTTTTTTCTGTGTTTTGCTGTTCTTTAACCTGTTTTCTAGTGTTTTTTCTTTTATGGTTTTTATTGTTTTCCTTTTCAAGAAATTCCCCTTTTTAAATGTTCACAATTTCAAAAAAATCTTGGTGTTTCGAATATTCGTTTGAAATTTCAAAAAATGTTCACAAATTTGAAGAATTTTTATATTTCTAAATATTGATGAAGAGTTTCAAAATTTCAAAAAATGTTTTGGATTTCAAATTTTGTTAACAAATTCGAAAAATGTTATTTAATTTCTTAAAAAATGTTATGCAATTTTTAAAAAAATGTTTGCTATTTGAGAAAAATGCTCCCATTTTTTAAAAAATATTAGAATTTCAAAAAACTCGTGTTTTGAAAAATGCAAAAATTTAAAATACGTGCAAGTTTGAAAACATTCTCAAGTATTTAAAAAAAAACTTGCTCCTGATGACCGGGGGGTAAAACCCTAGCGAAGCATTTTCCAGCTTAATTTGCTCATATTGCTATGTGTTTGAAATGAAATTGGTTGGACGTGTGCGGATGTGTTGGGGATATGGTTGAATGACCGGCTCTCGTATCCGTGTTAGTGGACTGGTATGAACCTATCCAGGAACAAACAATGTGTTTGTTTTAATGGTCTGACTTATGGCTAGAATTCAAGCCAAGTCAAGCTAGCTTGGCTCAACTTGTTAGAGCTCGTTAAGATAACAACTTAGCTCGGCTCAACTCGTTAACATAACAAGCTAAGATGCAAACTCATTTTTACTTGTGTAAGAGCATCTCTAGCAGACCCCACATCCGGCCGGCCCGCAAAACGCGTTTCCAGTTTGCAGAAAATGGCTTTTGCAGGCTGGCTCAGACGGCCGCACATGCAGACCCCTCAAGCGAAGGATATTCGCAGAATATACTTTTTACAGGTTGGCTTTTTGCGGGGTCGGCTCGGGCACCGCCGCGTCGACTCGTAAACCGAAAACGCCCAATTCTCAAATTTGACATATGTTCCCACAAATAAATTCAAATTCAAACAACATAACACAGTTTACATGCAAATAAAAGCTTCAGTTTAGTAGGACAAATGCAAAAGAGGGTCTTGCAAAAGTGACGACCATGTCCGACATCATCTTGGTCGATCTTCACTCCGCGCCATCGAGTTCATCTTGAAGTTCATCGCCACCACCGAATCCACGTCCGACGCTTGTTCCAACTCCCGCACCGAAATCATCGACATTGCCATCATGTGGAGCAGAGAAAACATCTCCGGCACTGTAACACGCACTGGCCGACGCAACCATTCTCCTCTTCAAGATTTCTCTCCTTGTCATATCATGCCATTCTTTGGTGAGGTCGTCCATGTCATTGAGTTTCATTGTCATGATCTTGTCCTCTTCGGCGAGCAACTTTGACATGGCTTTGTCTTCAGCGGCACGTGCTCTACTCTCCTCAATGGTCGCTTTGCACAGCCCCTCTTTCTTGAGAAATTGACACTTTTCTTGCTTCCCCTTTGCCTTCTTATCGGTCAACTCTTTCTTGATCTCTAATGACTTCAACAACATGAACTCATTTGATTGCACCATGGCATCAATCTTCTCCCTCAAGCTCGATGATTCATGCTCTCTCTTCATCTTCTCCTTAGTCTTCTTGTCGCCATTGGGCTTGTTCAAATTTCTTGGGCCATCATCATCCTCATATTCATCGATGTTTGTAAGTGAACCTCTCTTCGGTAGGGATTCTTTGTCGATCAACTTCCACTTCTCGCACTTTTTGAGCAAGTCCCAACAATGCTCTAGTTTGAAGAATTTTCCTTCCGAAGCTTCCATGTCTTTGTATCTATGTTGGGAAATTTTGTCCTACACAATGTGAACAAAGTGAAATGATGCAATCATTTCATATGATACAATATGATGATGCACAACTTGAAAAAAGGCAAAACAAACTCACATAGTCGGATTCCACGGTTCCACTTGGAGGTGCATTGCGTACTTGCTCCAAGCAAGTTGCCCAATGGCTGCACATAGGCTTGATCACCTCCCAACGCCCTTGAAGCTACCGAAATGTGCGTGGAGTCCTATTGGGGTACTTTGCCATCATGCGGAAGTATTGATCTTCGGTCCTTTGCCAATACCTCTTGGCGGTCTGAGAAGTACCCGTGCATGCATCAAGAGACACTGCACTCCATGCATTGATCAGAACTTGATCTTCCAAGATCGTGTAGTTCTTCGATCTCTGGCTTTTTCCAGTTTTTGTTTGTGATTGCTCATACGCTACCTGATCGATCTCCTCCAATTCTTCCTCACAACCATGATCATCCACGTCGCCCTCCATTTCATTGTAGTCGAATGCGGCGAACGGGGCTTGATCGATGTCAACGACATTGGTGTCCAACAATTTCACGAACTCGGCAGTTGCATTGTTCGAACCACCACTATAGTGAACAACAACAAGTCACGAGCTATCGCAAAATGGCAAAAATCAAAGAAAATTGCCATGACTGAAGACGCATACCTTCTGGCCATTTCATCAAACACCTCACTTGCGGGGGGAGCAACACCATTGAGCGGCATCACCGGGGAACCTCTTTCCGGGGCGGAGGGAGTGGATGAAGAAGGTGGCTTCTTTGTAGCCGGATTCCTCTTCCTCTTGACGCCGGTGAAGGAAATATGCCCTAGAGGCAATAATAAAGTTATTATTTATTTCCTTATTTCATGACAAATGTTTATTATTCATGCTAGAATTGTATTAACCAGAAACATAATACATGTGTGAATACATAGACAAACAGAGTGTCATTAGTATGCCTCTACTTGACTAGCTCGTTGATCAAAGATGGTTATGTTTCCTAACCATAGACATAAGTTGTCATTTGATAAACGGGATCACATCATTAGGATAATGATGTGATTGACTTGACCCATTACATTAGCTTAGCACTTGATCGTTTTAGTTTACTGCTATTGCTTTCTTCTTGACTTATACATGTTCCTATGACTATGAGATTATGTAAATCCCAATTACCGGAGGAACACTTTGTGCGCTACCAAACGTCACAACGTAACTGGGTGATTATAAAGGTGCTCTACAGGTGTCTCCGATGGTACTTGTTGGGTTGGCATAGATCGAGATTGGGATTTGTCACTCCGATTGTCGGAAAGGTATCTCTGGGCCCTCTCGGTAATGCACATCACTATAAGCCTTGCAAGCAATGCAACTAATGAGTTAGTTGCGGGATGATGCATTACGGAAATGAGTAAAGAGACTTGCCAGTAACGAGATTGAACTAGGTATTGAGATATCGACGATCGAATCTCGGGCAAGTAGCATACCGATGACAAAGGGAACAACGTATGTTGTTATGCGGTTTGACCGATAAAGATCTTCGTAGAATACGTAGGAGCCAATATGAACATCCAGGTTCCACTATTGGTTATTGACCGGAGACATGTCTCGGTCATGTCTACATAGTTCTCAGACCCGTAGGGTCCGCACGCTTAACGTTCGGTGACAATCGGTATTATGAGTTTATGGGATTTGATGTACCGAAGGTAGTTTGGAGTCCCAAATGAGATCGGGGACATGACGAGGAGTCTCGAAATGGTCGAGACGTAAAGATCTATATATTGGACGACTATATTCAGACATCGGAAAGGTTCCGAGTGATTCGGGTATTTCTCGGAGTACCGGGGAGTTACGGGAATACGGGGAAGAAGTATT